GATCTGTACACAAAAAAGTGTAAAGTGACTTTTTGCTATTGCTACAAGGAAATTTAACCTCCCATTGCCGGTAAAATTGAATGTGTAAAACTATCCTTGATTTGAGAAACATCCGGCTAATTCTGCTCTTGGTTTATCCATCACTCGAATATGTCCCCCCCCCGGATGGGGACCATCTTGGTGATTCATACTGTGCCCGATGCAAACTGTGTGCAGTGTATACAATAAACATTGTACAAATATAATTCTGAGTATGGTCTTCGTGACACAAAGTGGTGAAACCTTCAACAGTGACTGCGCTGAGAATGTCACTCGCATATATTCCTCGGCTTACTCGTTTTTGTCAACGGATGGTCATCGATCTTGTTAGTATGATTCATCCATCTAAAAAATGAAGCAACTTTGTGTTGTTTCCTATATCCAGTGAGTTCGTTTGAACTATAAGAGAAATTGCCGTTATGGGTAGCACCTCGGGCAAGATTTCGCAAATGGATTCGTCGGACAGAATTCGCTTCACCGTTTTCTAGATTGCAAGATCATACATCGTTTGCATCTACATGATTCCTGTAACTACAAAATATCTTTTTACACTGGTAGTCAGCAGTTAACTGCAATGGAAGGCTATCGCATGAGACCACCAAAAGCTGTTTCTTTTCTAACTGAAGTAAATCGCTGTTGAGATAGTAATTTCAACCTTACATTTTCCCTAACGCACACCTGCTGTAATCGCATCATAGCACAGGTCGTTTACGGAACACTCGTTCTCTTTTCGTCTTATGTGACATTCTCCCAGGTTCAATTTTGGCTGTTCAGGTCGCGGACAAGTTTGCCCCGAATGGATCTCACCGTTTCGTTGGACTTTGTATTGAAAGGTACAATGAAGGACTTTGGACCACTTTTACATTGCGCAATGTGATTGACAAGACAGGTACACTCATGTTTGTCAGGTTGCGCAACGTTTTTTAACTTATTTCTCCATTGTTTTTTTATAGTTCTTTAGCTGATATGCAAGAAAATTTACTTACAGAATTTATCCAGTACAATTTCACTGGAAAGGCGAAATAGTACTGACAATTAGATCCTTCATTGCTCTGATGGTCAGTCAGCCTAAGTCACTGTCACTGCCCTGCTCCGGACCTTCAAACCGTTTTCGTAATCATAGCACCGACTTGCCACCTGACAACTTACATCACGGCGCTTTAGATTCAAAGGTATCGTATTGTCATTAACTATCGATGTGGAGGCTACATGACGAATCACAAATCCTTCCAGAATACTGGTCACAACTCGAATAATGCATTGGTATGCGCGAAATCCTCCCTACGCTACGGTGGTAAACAGCAACGTCATTTAAAATGTTTCAATCCAATGAAATTGCTCCACCCAAACATAGCAGCTAAAAAACGTGCCACCTGCTTATCTAACTCGTCCTCCATACTCAAACACTGACACTTTTGCCTGCATTCGTAGCGTAATACGTAAAGCTTCTATCACAAAATGTGGTTTCAAAACACAATATCAACGACTGGGTTTCTGCACGTTACGTCGAAGTGCTCAACCCCTATCGAAACACACCCCAGTTACCAAAAGCGGCCCAAGAGATCTGGTGGGCACAGGGCACCTCAGTGATGGAACAAGCTGCTGCCTTAAGCTTTTCCGTCTAATCTGAAACACTAGTAATAAAAGGCCATGCGTAGGTAATATCATATACGCAATGAACCGTGAGCGCATTCACAATCTGTGATATCAATAAGACCTTTAGCTGGGGCACCTTCAGCAAGTATTCATTCGTCCGTCGACACCAATACCTCCACTTTCTGTCACACAGTGCTCCATGTGCTTTGGAAATATCATCGCTTACCGAGAAGGAATTCTCCCAAGAACTTCGTCGTGTGAAATACCGCAAATCGTCCGACGCCAATATACTCCTTGTCCGAGCATCGGCAGTCTTACTCCTATCTGGAATGCTGAATCTACTCCATCTGACTGGAGAGTGTTGTCGAGACTGGCTCCCTCCAAATAATTTTTGCAATCGTTGAGGGATTCGTCTTATTTCCGACGGATTCAGATTTTTCATTCTTCGCATACTTAATTGTATATCGGATCGTCACATCCAGTAAGAACAGACTGATTTCAACGCCGGACGGCGTTAATTTAATGACTTATTCACCCAGCTCCTGGAAGTCCGCCAAAAGTTTAATAAACTGACTGTCATCGTCTTTGTAGACCTGCGTTACGCTTGACTCAGCAAATGGAGCAGACCTATGAATTAGTCCACAATAAAAGTGGATGCATTAAGAGATCGATTTCACAATACAACGATACGCGTGGTTTCATTGTCCAAGAGAGTAGGCCCATTCGTCCTGACGGCGAAAATTGGATAAATCTCTGATTATCGTTCCCGTCGGGGCAACGCCGAAATCCAATGACAATAGTGCGTCACCAACAACCACATTCGTTCAAGGATTTTCGTCTCAGACACTGTCTGAGTGTTACCATCTCGCTCCCAAGGTCATGAAATCGTGCTAAGCATGTCGACCCAACGACTGTCCATTATCCTTCTTGTACAGGAGGACAAAAACTGGAATCGGCTACAAAGTGGGCTACAATTGACTCTGGCTTGAGGGGTGAAGACACTAACATTAAAACTGGTAAGTATATGACACTCTCGGCCCTGAGGCTTCGAGAGCCGAAGGATGGTGAACACCTGTCTTGAAACACTAGCTCAAAAAATGGCATCCGTGATGTACTCGTTGAGAGACTCATATCTGTCAAAAGTAATATTTTAAGCGTTTATATTCTTCCGTATGTCGTGGCGCTTGCCAACTTCCGTATTATTGATTGCTTGGTAAACATATAAAATATAGGTATATGGTTTTTAAAATGATACACTACATCTCTTAGGTGACTACTTTCTGCTATGCACCTTTATAAATTTTTAGCCCACTAATCAGTGAGGTTTGCTTCGTTTTACCAGGTATTTTATAGAATAAATTCCTAATGACTATGATCAATTCTGCAGTTAGATAACAGTTCCAGTGGGCCAATACTCCCCTCTTTTATTCCGAATGCGGCCTTTTGTTTCCACGTTCCCTTCAGACTTAAAGTTGACTCCGCTACCACATCTTGATTAGTAATGTACCTCACTTTGCAGCGAATAGTCTAGGTATACTCAAAGGTGATACTGTCAAAAACCTTGTTATGGTTCGGATTCAAAATATTTCCGAAGCTCACCATGTTTAAAACCTTTTAAGAAGGTTCGTAGATAGGCATTTCATTTAACCTTGAGAAACTTGCTGTTCTCCCACAAATTATCTCTAAATCTTTGGCTGCCTATACGAATTCAATACGGTAAACACGACGCACAGTTGCGCTTGTAATATCCATTCCAATTTTCCATCTGATACTGTGTGCCTTTTCTCTTCCCACTCTGACTTCATTATACTGCTCTATCTTCCCTCCAACTACAAGGGAAGGATTTTTACCATTCCCCGGGTCTCTTGTTCTTGCGGATTCAGTGATGTAACCAAGATTGTCTCGATTGATTGTTTTTGCTTCTGTATGCATTTGGATATTAGTGTTAAGTTTACTGATAAAGTATGATGAAAATCATTGTTTGCTTGGTGATCTGTCAAAATCTATGTTGTACGCGCTCAAATTTTAAACTTGTGCCTGCTCGTGCCTCGCTTCCAGTAGTAGCAGTACAGATCTTTATACTCCTCGTTTTCGGTTAACAACACATCGATTGTGTCCACTCTGTAAGACAAACTTATGTGCTAGATCCAGGAGTTAACGGAAAAAGTAGACAGATGAGTAGAATGTCTTTCAAAATGGGTGCTTAAGACTTGATGACACGACGTACCTAGCGGTAGCCGGCACCAAAGAACGTTTTTTCTTTGGATACCCTATTCGCAGCCTTTGAATCAAAACTCTGACCCACAACGCAGTGGGGCTTAAATCCAATGTCAGAGCGTGACCAAACCACCCACGTGGGAGCTTCTAGAGATCTGTAGTGCAGTGAATTCTGGTCTGTGGATAATGTATTGTTCTCCGGTAGGTTGATTGACGGTCCGCCGATCGGGATCGAAACTTCGCCTCATGCGTCGATTGAGACAAAAGCTTATTGGCTTGGGCGAGCTAAGACCTCACAATTCGTATTTGTTGGAGTGACCTCCAACTTTCAGTTTTTAGAACCAGCGACCATTCGTCTTTGCTCAACGGTTTTGGTTGTTGACTTTATTCCACCAATTGGAATAACTGAGCAGAGTTCAGTTCATTTTTTACCACCAATAACCGTGCACTTTCATGCGCCAGTTTTCGTTGCTGCCTCATACTTACTTTATTTTATGATGGCTAGCTCCTGGGAGAGGATAAGTCGGCTTCATGGATATCAAGTAAATATCCATGAAATTTCTTGGAAGTTAGGTACAGCAAACGTCCCCAGCGTCACCCGGCTTTGGGTCGAGGTGGCATCTCTAGCCGTTGCACATCCAAGTGCTAACTGCAAGGTAGAAGGAAGGTAGCGCATCGTTGACGGTGGTCCTCTGTGGGGAGTTCATACGCCATTGACAGTTCCTAGCTGAACAGGGATCCATGCATCCCTGATGAGTACGGAGTCGTTGCCTTGACCGTTGAGTCTAGAAAGCGACTTCGTCCGCCAACACGTCCGTTAGACATCGACTCACCGGGAGTTGAGCTCCCGGTTACCCTCAACCTGGTTTGGCCCGCTTGTCGAGTAGTTTACCGGGGTGTGGCTGCTGTTGCATCCAAACAGCTTCTTGGAGCCACAGGTGAGAGCTGGGCACCTGGTGGAGACTAAAGAACGGCGGATGCTTCAAGAGGACCGACAACCCTTCGAGTCAGAGGTGCTACTCCTACTGGGTACCCCATACACCCATGGATTTCCATCTGGACAAAAGAGTGAAGGTGGGATTGAAATGTTCAAATCAGTGTCAGAATGGAGAAGAATTAATGACGAATAAGTTCACAAAGAAACTGAGAACATACACGAACGCCAGTGTTTCCGACACTAAGCCATATCACTCAGTGTCTTTAGTCAGAGGTTATGCTGACCCGGCTGTTCCCATTCAGGAAACCTAACGTGGGTTAAGTAAGGTTCCTGGTAACGGCTTTCATGCCCTCATGCCTGGTCTAAGCTTGACCACCCCTGCTTTTTTCCCACTCAACACCTGGATCAGCAAACAGCACGCGCCGATATATTATTTGATCATGTGCATAATGTTTTTTCATCATCTTTTTCTGTTCATCTTCCGCTCTCCTAGCCGTTGAGATTGCCTATGAGCTGTACAATCCGACATTGCAGTCAATCGAAGTGTTACTTCTGGAAAAGCGTTTAGACCAAAACCTTCTGTATCTTCGTGATGCTCCTCTCCAAGAAAGTCGAATCCCATTCGATATGACTCCCATTCCTCACCCGTCAAATACCCCGGTGCCGGTCAATACGAAGAAAGTGAGCCGATTTACCACTTGAATTGTGTGTGTGCGTGTACGGTTATTTGCTTTTCACGTTATCTCCACAACACAGTCTAAGTTGCACTCTTTCGCCTACTGAAATGGCTTTCAAGTTGTGGTTTGGTGAGTTGCATCACGTGACCAGTGGTGCTAAATGCAATTGAGTATGTTATTGAATTTACCTCGCTGTCCGATGATATTCTTGGAGGTAATGTTTCATGAAGTCAATCATGAATCGGTTTCACTTCGTCCATTGCACGGTACATTGAGAAATGAACGTATTCAGGGACCCATTATGTTTACAAATGTTCATTCTGCGCACGTAATTATAGACATTGTATCGCTTAATGAACCGTTTTCAATTTGTTTCAGTTTGCACTGGTTTGGGATGCTGCCTTTCGGGTACGCATTCGGTCAACCAACGAGAAGAGAAATGAATGAAAGTCCTGAAAGCTTTTTCAGGACGAAAATACAGAATCAAAGTAACTTACATCGGTGTAGAAAGTACGCAGATGAACAAGTGTCTTCTTCGAGGGCAATGAATCATATCAGGCAATTTCCTTAGCCATTGATCAGGATGAATACATAACCTGCTTAACCAGTGTCATAGAGACGCTGCACACCGACGAAGCCTATTCAATGACATGCGTAAGGTATCCCTTAACTACTGCAATCTATGGAGATGAAGTTCTTGTGTTAGTGTATGGCTACTTAATAGTCGTCGCTCAATCTCAAAATTGCTTTTCAAGTTACTCCACCAGACTCATGCACTGTGGCTTAGCGGCTTTTGAATACCGATAGGCTGCGTTTATTGTTCTCCTGCAACAGTACCATATAGACGCACCGGTCGGCATCCTGCAGAGTATGCCCGACTCTTCACGGTCATCCAGTTGTCATATCTTTCCTTTGAATTTGCTCTCAGCATTCTTATCTTTATTCTGCTGTTTTATCCAAATGGATAACCAAAACCCGTGCACGAAAGTGTATGTATGGTTTATGTTAGTAAGAACTGAATTAATGTCGTAGCTGTACTAAAAGTGCCTTAGGTTGTTCAATACTACGTGTATCCAAGTTTATGGTTTTAAACTGCTGGCAACCTTTAGAGAGCAGTAGGTTCTCATGTTTATGGAGCTTACTCTTTTTTGTGTTCGACACACACTTGGGGATATCATTAAAACGCCGATCGAGCTTCCTGTATGCCTTCTGACAGTTTGTCCGACACTCGTCCATGTACCTTAGTAGTAGAATCTGCCGACATTCTCTACTGCCCATTCCTATCAAGTGAGTCACGGACCCAGACTGATCCGATTATCTTGCAGTATTTTACACTGGAAGTATCTAACATAACATACCTGGATCTTCATCAATCAATACAATATCGTCTGCGTACTCCAAGCCAGTTGATTTTCACCCTGAGAAAATGTGGGCCCTGCTGTCCTCGTACAATGCAGGGCTTCAACTTCTACACGAGGAAAAAACACCTGTTTGCATCGCTTCTGATCTGTTGAAGGAAGTGTTTTGCGTGGCCTGCTGACTTTGCAGTAGTAATTCGAATTGGATGGATGAATTAGCTTCTTTTCGTATGGTCGATCGAAAATGTTAGCATTACGTTTTCTTGTGAACTGTTAAATCAATTACGAAAGTGAACTCTTTCTGACTCATTTGGTTTATCGGACACCTCGAAATTTGCGACTATCCGCACGTTTTCATTTTGAAGAATACTGGCATTGAATATATTTCGGTCAAACAGTTTCTGTTCTA